TACGTAAGAAAGTATGGCTAAGATAATGAGATGTAAGTTTTTAACCATGTAAGTCAGGTTATGAAACCACCTCTCTTAAACTCTCAATCTAGGGTCATTAAAATTTTACCACCCAAGGAAAGGCATACTAGGAGCTGCGTTATCTGGTACGTTTGTTTTAATTTATAAGTGTAATCTAACATGTTAGACGAGTATGAGGGAAGTTAAAATCATCACTGAGCGGACGAGTTGAGTCGCCTTCCTTTAGCTGGCGGCTGAACATCCTCTTTCTCCTTCAATATCCCGAGCAAGGAGAAAATATTCTTCCTCAATTTTCTACATTAGACGTATTCCTTAATCTATCAATTTCAATGGCCTCCTATCTTCTTTTTTACAGCAGTAGCCATTTTATCTCATGTCCAGTCTCCGACCAGTGTTCGCCTACTTTTGACCGTAGAACCCATCTCCCTTTACAAGCATTTTTGTGTTTCCCCAATTCTTGTCGAATTTCTCACCAACATAAGGCCGACCACAGGAGCACATAATTTTGTAGTAGCCGGATCTCGATAATGGGTCATGTTTGTGCTAGGTCAAACAAATTCTATAGAACGATATAATGTTGGTTCCACCTTGTTTTCACAACTTGGTTGGAGCTTCAGGGAGACCTTGTGAAACGTATCTAGTCCTGTGTCCTCTGCCATATTATTTGTGAGATTTAGCATCGGACTATTGGCTTGATATATTCCCAAACGCATCCACGGCATCATCAGTGAGCGGTGACATCGTCAATACAGTGTTACAACTTATCAAAGTTACAAGTGAAGGCAATCCCCCTGACTAACCTTCTGTTTAACCGCTCTGGCATTACTCCTCAACCCTATTTTTTGTTCTACCTTCTAGTGCTGTATTTCTTTCTCTTAACTCCACTTCATATTGCCCATTGACCTATTCATACAAATGGATTTAGGGAAGCGTAATCATCTCCACTACCGGTACCAGGTGTTGGTTGCAGGGCTTCTGATTTTTATTTAGCCCCTCCTTTCTTCTACCCCACTCGTCAATTGGTCGCTGTTAGGCAACAAAATTATTGTCCTTATTTCCAAAATTTGGCTGCCTAAGAGCTTTCAATTCCCGTCTCCGATTATGCCATATTTGCAGATTTAAAGCAGATGATGTCCATACCAGTGCCTGAGAATCTCCCTCTTCTTGGGCTTCAAACCCATGTCTCAATTTTCCTTTTTCTCATCCCAATCCACATTTTGTCTCATTCTTCGGGGCCCTATGTCGGGCTTAAGTCATACCTGCTGGTGTAAAAATGCACCGCTTCCGGTTTTTCTCTCCTGAATGGCGAAAAGCACACGCTTCTCTTGAGTTGACAGTCCCATCTAACTCTAGGGTACAGAGATGTTGTTGATGTGTCTGTTAGTTGGTATAGCCTGTAGTCATGTGTGTTGTCTGTTACCTTTGATTAAGGTGCACACACGAAAAATGCACATACACACTAGTGACCTATATCTGGCCCACATACCTTTAGCCTTTACCTTCATATCCTGTATCTCGCAGTTGGATCCTCTGGGTGATTTTGTTTTTGGCCAATTCCACGTCTGATTCATCTCACTACAGTAGCATTTTCTTGATTTCCCTTTGTTCCTTATGAGCCGCTCCTTGGTGATGTCGCTTCCTGTTGTTGAACAGTTGTCCTGGCTCCAAGCGTCTTCTTTTAGATGGATTCATTGAATCTCCAAGTCTGCGCAAACAGTACACGAGATTATCGCTAACTCTACCCTCTTCCAATCTCCTCTTCATCGGGTTTACTTGAAGGAGGATGTCTACAGCCTCTCTGATATTCCTTTTTCTGCTGTTTTCCCCATATATGGCCAGTCTTTCCGTTGAATTCCAGTCAATCGTGTGGCCGGTAAGGGCGATGTGTTCAGCTATCTCCGATCTTTCCGTATCAACTTTTCTGCATAGTCGCTGGTGTTTTTTTATACTTGTGTTGATTCTCCTCCCCGTCTCTCTGATGTATTTTTGTTCACAGTCCTCCGGAGCACTCCATTTTGTTGACTTCTTCATGTTGTGTGGGCAATTTGGTGCAGAGGGTTGTCCTTTCCTCCAGGATTGTAACAACGTTCCATTTCCCTAGTATCGGCCTTAGCTTCCGAGCCAATTCGTAGGAGAGTAGACTTATCAATCGTTTTCCTCTGCTCCTCTTGCTTTCCTTTCATAGCCTCCGTCCTTCCATCCGTTCATCACCATTCGTTTGTTGTGTTGTATTTTTTCTTCTGGATATCCGTTTCCAAGAGGCATCTAAGTTAATTTTCCCAGTTCCTTTTTGCAGAACTTAAAATCCGTGACTCGTAAGCTTCTTATGCTCATACGCTGGAGTATTAAAATCTTCATCCCATAAGTATGGTTAGACTGGAAGTTACGAGTTATTCCAACATGTGATTTCTTTCGGAATAGTTGTTTATTGGGGGTCTTCTCTCAACGAATAGCCGCCACATCCAAGAGAGGTTAATGCCAGTTCTCTCTCACATCCATTGAAAATTTGACTTTTTCATCTATTTCGTCAATGGAGATCAGGAACTCGTCTAATTTCTATTTTTCATGCGATCGGATAGCGAAGTAGTCATTCAACTATTGCATAATTACTGTTGGCTACTAAGGTGATGTTTTGAACTTCTCCCCCAACTTGTCCACATAGACATTGGCCAACAGGGGTGAGAGTAGTGAGCCCATAGGCAGCCCAAATATTTGCTCATGGATGCGGCTGTAGAACGTGAAACAGGTAGTTCTTATTGCTGGGTTGATTAATCTGGTAGGAGACTCTATGGATTCGCTCCAGCTCCAGGATGCCATCTTTTTCCATGATCTCCGGTGGTGCCACGAGTGCTTTGTCCCCTGAGATGTTGGTGTACATGGACTGTACATCAAAGCTCATCTAAAGTTCCTTTCCTTCCAAACTGGTGCCTTATCATTCTTCGGCAAAATTCGTATGAGTTCTTTACTGTATTCGATAATTTACCATTAACTTTCTTCAATTTAAGGCAGATAATTTTCACAAATTTATTTGTTGGTCCGTGGTTGTTGTTTACCATCACTATCAAGGATTCTCCTTATTTGTGTACTTCCGGCAAACTGTATGCTACTGAGGCTCTTGTATTTTATTTTAGGGGTGCATTTATTGTCCATTCGCCGATTTCCCCGTTTTTATTCACTTCGTTCAGTAATTCTTGCAGTGCCCCTTTAATTTTAACTCTTGGGTCTTTTGTCAAAAATAGATCAATTTTTGCATCTCCGAGAGTATTTTCCTTTTTCTCCATATATTCCTTCCTGTTGATCACTAATGTATTACTTCCTTTAACAGCTTGTAGAACTATTTGATCGTTTATTTTTAATTATATGTATATCTTGGTTAGATTATTCCTATCCGTGGGCTATTGATGCGCCAAGATTGTTGGGATGGCTTCCATTTCCAGCTTCATTTTGATTCCAGAAGGAGCATCTCAGAGGCACTTATCACCTCCACTAAAATGTCCTTGATTGCCTTCCTTTCCTTCCAAATTGCAAAATTTAATCCCTTCTTGAGGATCTTTGTTATTTCGAGATCAAGAGGGACAGAAGACGGATTGACTACTTTATCTTAATCTCATTTCTGGACTATGCGACTCGTTATTCTAGAGGCATCTTCCTTTTTTCTGAGTAGTTTGACCCTGGGCTGCCTATAGATCCCACATCTATCCAGCTTATTCTGATGTCTTTTCTCGATTAAGTCCGAGATCTTTTTTTACATGTTGTCAGTCATCTTCTGTAGTTTCAGGTAATCCTACGGGGTGAGAGGCTGACAAAAATCATGCCTGAGTTAAGATTTAATATGTAAAAACTTTAATAATTTTCCCCTCTCTATCATTTGTCTCCTCAAATTCTTATAACGAAGCTTGATATAATATATCATTGACCTTAACTGAATGATATCTCCTCATCAAATTGCAAAGACTAGAAGAAATGTCATAACGTTTACAACATTAATAAAAGATCAAATGACTTATCTGATCTTCTGTAATTAGTGCATTGACTGACAATCTTACCACCATAATTAGATTGTAGACATGAAGACCAAGATGGTTTGGCCTTCTGTTTGGTCTCAGTCTCTTTTAGCTGTATAGTGTTGGTTCGACCTTGTTTTTGCAATTTGGTCTGAAAACAATATATTTTTTAATATTATAAAGTATTAAATTTTATTTCATTTGCTGGACAAAATTGAAATGGATTTTGTTTAAAAGTTTGCTTACTTTTTGCTTAAAATTATTTTATCCATTTTCTAAATAAAAAGATGAAGATCCAAGTTCCATTGCATTCCACCAAAATGCCATATCAAAAAATCACCTGGAAACGACTTCCATCATTTCTGAAAAAAGTACAGTCAGATTTAGCGAAGCGCTTCGGAGCGAAGAAAAGATACTGGGACCTCAGTCAATAGTAGACAATAAAATGTTTCCCAAGGAAGGTAACAAAGATATAGGCTCGAGTAAAGAATTCAAAGAGTCTAATAAAATTATACCGGCTGAAATTTCAGATACAAACACTTGGACAAAGGAAACCGATCTATTCAAAAAGAATTCTTCATTGCAAGCGGACCTTTCGAAAGAAGCTAGTAAATCCTTATTGCATCAAAGAATGGAGGTATTAAATAATTTGGAAAAGAGAATTAATGATATGCTTACAGGGTTGAATGAGCATCCACCGATTAGGTAACGTTTTTATGATAATAAATTGACACAGAACTAGCATTTATCTAGAAATATTATTAAGATGTTATCAATTTATATTAGTCATATTTGAAGCATTAACGAAGTCTGAATCGTATTTTTCACAATTGTGCCAGTCTTGTATTGAGGCCTTAAAGAAAGTGTTCTCTTTGTGTCCTTTCCTGTACTCTCTTCTCACAAGACCATAAGTCATTTTACCAATACCTTAATGATAATTCCCATTATAAAGGACCATACTTATCTCGGAATCTTGTGTGATATTTGCAATTTGAGTTTAAGCCTGACTAAGAGGACCTAATTCGATAATCCGTTTTAAAAAAGCACATAATTATATTGTTAAAGGTGACAAGGGATATTCTTAAAAATGGCAAATGCGAGGTCAAGTCAATCACTTCTATGAAGGCCAAATTATAACTTTATTACATTTAAAGAAATCCGTCAAAGAGTGAGCTAGTGGTAACCTCTTCGTCGTTTTAATTTGGTTAATATTTACTTTAATATATGTAAGAATTTACGTAAGATTTTGTAAATAAACCTAAAAATATATGATATATTGTCTTTCTGCTGAGTGCCTTAATGCATTTGCAAACCTTAGGAAACAATATAAAAATAATTAAATTAATATTGTTACAACTCTGCCTAATACAGAATGTAGGATAGGATAGGCATTTGTGGCAATCCCATTTTAGGATAAAGCCACGAATATCCCTCAAAAATTATTCACACTCCTCATATTTCTGTTCATTTCTTCACACTAACTCATCATACTTTCTCTCATTTACTTTTTTATTTGTTTTATTTGGTTGAGCTGTTTATTTTTTACTTATTTTTATACGCATCAACCTAATTAATTGCCTTAAAGATACGCAAAAGTTGTATTTTTGAGAGAGATAATGGACATTTCTATGACAACGGAAAACGAACATCCGGATTCAGGTAAGCTGAATATGCTACAATGATTCATTTTCATTAATCCGCTGGCATAATAGAGTCAAATTTTTATATTTCTAAATGATCAGAGCTTATAACTGTAAGTGAGACCCTTTTTTAAGAGTAAAAACTGTACCTTGATAACTTTATATTTTACGGAATGAAAACTGACCTATTAACACCGATTCATAGTGGAAACTTTAGACCAATTGACGTTGGATACGGCCTGTGCACCTAAGTCACTTTCCTTGAGCCTACTTCCATTTCGAGTCAAAGTGTTTGGTGAAGAGATTCGAAGATCGATTCCTCATGACCACTTGTCGATTGGCTTTACTGAAACATTCGTGGTGACGCCGTTTCCGAAGTAATCTCCTCCGATTCCGGTCAAATGGTGCTAAGCTTTCGTCCGTCATATGACGAACAGCATCAGAGCAAGGTATCATCGTCACAACCAAATTCAAGTTAACGAGTCAAGAAAACTCATCGGCAAATCCCTAAAAAGTGGTATATATACTCTACATCTTGACTTATTTGCTGGAATTTGGTTGTGATGATGATACCTTGCTCTGATGTTGTTCGTCATTCGACGGACGAAAGTTTAGCACCTTTTCATCTGAATCGGAGGAGATTTCCTCGGAAACAGCGTCACCACGAATGTTCCAGTAAAGTTAATCGACATTTGGTCAAGAGGAATCCGCATTCGACTTTTGGTGAAATTGACCTTCGAATATCTTTACCAAACACTCACTCTAAACGGAAGTAAGCTCAACAATTATGAAATAAGAGAATCCTCGAAACCCAACTTTTCTTCGCATATGCTAAGTCGCTTTTTTCTTTGCATAGAATGAAATTGCAAATTCCCTTCTATATCGTTAAGACTATCAGAATATGATTTGAAGTTTGCAAATGATATAAATACA